GGTGCAATATATATGTCTCTTTACTACTGGAAATAATTAGAAAATGCCATTATATCTTCAACACCGGAGAATAGAGGAAACCAACTTCACTTTTTAAAAGGTCCAAACAACAGACTCAACAATTTGAGACAACAAGGTGTAGAGCTGGATGAACACAGCAGGCCAAGCAGCATCACAGGAGCAGAAAGGCTGACGTTTCAGGCCTAGACCCTTCATCAGAGTCGACAATTTGTTTGATAGACATAGATCTTTGATAAATGTGTGCTATGGCTCAGCTGAGTCAAATGTTTCTGGATTCAAGTCCCACTTCAGGATTTCAGCACAAAATCGAGCTGAGAAGGTCCAATGGGTTTGAGCATGAAAGCAATAACATCAAGGAAGACAAATTTACAGTTGAACCATGTGCAGTTTTGCTCTGAAAAGTGCAACTGTAGAGCAGTTATCTCAAAAAAAGCTCCTTCCAAGAACTGAGACATCTCAAAGTTTTCAGCAGCACTCCCTGCTGGCTATTTGGAGAAACGACTAGAACAAGTAAAAGAGGTAGTTTCATGGAGAGAAAGATGGGCAAATGGACAGGATATTACTGCTACTTGGTTAATCAACTGTGTTTCTAATAGATACACTTTACCATGTGCTGCTGATTGCTCAATGTTACGATCAATGAATCAAACACAAAGGTCAGTTTTGACACTGACTTGCTATGCAATGTGTCCTTGCCTGAAATTTGTCTTATCAATTTGGAAGACTTCTGCTTATCCAACAGAATTTTAGCATCACTGGATCAAATTTATGACCTTCCACCAATATGTCCCAAGTCAACATCATTCCAATGGCAAAGTTCCTATTTCAAACAAAAAAAAAGGTGCTGCTCTGGGATTGCCACTGTTACTTATTGTCACCAAGATCTTTATGGGAGACTTTGGAAAAGCAACATTTCAACTGGCAAGTGGGAGGCTTTCAAAAGTGAAATAATGAAAGTTCAGAGGCGGTATATTTCTGCTAGAGTGAAGGGTAAGACTGGTAGGAGTAGGGAACAATGGATGAATAAGCATATTGAGATTCTGGTCAAAAATAAGAAGGAGGCATATGTCAGTCCAGACAACTGCGATCAAGCGAATCTCTTGAAGAGTATGAAGGGGAGTAGGTGCATTCTTAAGAGGGAAATCAGGAGGGCAGAAAGGGAATATGAGATAGCTTTGGCAGGTAAGGTTAAGGATAATCCAAAGAAATTCTACAAGTTTATTAAGGGCAAAAAAGCAACTAGGGAGAGAATAGGGCCCGTTAAAGATAAATGAGGTCATCTTTGTGCACAACCATTGAAGATGGGAGAGATACCAAACGAATATTTCACTTCCGTATTTATATGGAGAAAGAATTGGAAGCTACGGAACTGAGAAAAGTAAATATTGATGTCTTGGAAACAGACTACATTACCTAAGAGATGCTGGAGGTCTGAAAAAAGCATAAAGGTAGATAAATCTCTGGGACCTGATCAAGTGTATCCTAGGACATTGTGATAAGCTAGGGAAGAGATTGCAGGGCCTCAGTAGTGATATTTGTATAATCGACAGGCACAGGCTAAGTGCCAGAAGGCTGGAGGTGGCTAATGTTGTGCCTCTGTTTCAGAAAGGCTGCAAAGAGAAGCCTGGGAACTATAGACCAGTGAGTCAGACATCAGCAGAGGGTAAGTTGTTGGAAGGGATTCTGAGAGACAGGATTTATATGCATTTGGAGAGGCAAGGACTGATTAGGGATAGTCAGCATGGCTTTGTGTGTGAGATATCATGTCTCACAAACTTTTTGAGAATGTGACCAAGAAGATAGATGAGGGCAGATCAGCAGGTGTTGTCTACATGGACTTTTGCAAGCCCTTAGACAAGGTTCTGCAATGGCAGACTGGTAAGTAAAGTTAGATCACATGGAATTCAGGGAGAGCCTGCCAATTGGATACAAAACCGGCTTGATGATAGGTGACTGAGGGTGGTGGTGGAGGGTTGTTTTATAGAATGGAGGCCAGTGACCAACGATGTTCCACAGGGATCAGTGCTGGGTCCACTGCTGTTTGTTATTTACATATTCAATTTGGATGAGAATATAGGAAGCATGCTTAGTAAATTTGTGGAATTTGGTGGCATAGTAGACAGTGAGGAAGGTTTCTAACTTTACAAAGGGATCTTCATCAATTGGGCCAATGGGCCAGGAGTGGCAGATGGCATTTAATTGAGATAAACACGAAGTGTTGCATTTTGATAAGACGAACAAGGGCAAGTCTTACACAATAAGTGGTAAGTCCTTGGGGGGCGTTGTAGAACAGAGAGAACTAGGGGTGCAGGTGCATAGTTCATTGAATGTTTGTCATAGGTAGACAGAGTGGTAAAGAAGATGATTAGCATGCTTGCCTTCATTGCTCAGACATTGAGTTTAAGATTGGGGGTATGTTGCGGTTTTACAGGATGTTGGTGAGGCCACTTTTGGAGTACTGTGTACAGTTCTGGTCGCCCTGCTACAGGAAGGATATTATTAAATAGAGAGGGTGCAGAAAAGATTTACCAGGATGTTACTTGGACTGGAGAGTTTGAGTTACAAGGAGAAGCTGGATAAGCTGGGAATTTTTCCACTGGAACGTAGGAGGTTGAGGGGTGACCTTATAGAGGTTTATAAATTGGTGAGGGGCATAGAGAGGGTGATTAGCAAAGGTCTTTTCCCTCGGGTTGGGGAGTTCAAAACTAGAGGGCATAATTTTTAAGATGAGATGAGAAAGATTTAAAAGGGACCTGAAGGGCACCTTTTTCACACAGAGTGTGGTTCATATGTGGAATGAACTGCCAGAGGAAGTGGTAAAAGCAGATACAGTTACAACATTGAAAAGACATCTGAACAGATACACGAATAGGAAATGTTCAGAAGGACATGGGCTAAATGCAAGCAAATTGGAAAACTTGGTCAACATGGACGAGTTGGACTGAAGGGTCTGTTTCAGTGCTGTATGATTCTATGATTCAATTGGCTAGTCTTGAAGTGAAGTCCCCAACCTTGAAATGTCTATGGCGTTTTCATTATATGGTAACACGATAGGAGACAACTTCATAGTTTCTGACAATACCTGAACAATCAATTTTCAAATATTAATTTTGCCATGGCAACAGAACAGCAATTATACACGCTAGTTCTTCATGTTCTCATCAGCAAACCTCAATGACACACAGTTACATCAAGTCTGCAGTAAGTCTACTCATACTGACAGACGGGTGAACTGATATTTCTAATCATCCCTTCACACTCCAACCAGTTTATAGCATTATCATTGGAAGAGACTACTCCATCACTAAAAGACCTATGACAAGAACTTCACCATATTAAGCCTACATTTCAACTCAATGACTTCCCTTCATTCGAACTTGCAAAATAGGAGCAGAAGTGGAACCCCCTTCAAATCTGCTCCTCAATTCAATAACATGATGGCTGACTTACTCGTGTTTCAAATTCAGCATTGCCATGTACCCACAGTAGCCTTTTATTCCCTTGCCTAACAAAAATCTAGCTAACTCTGCCTTAAAACCAATTAATAACCCTGCCTCCACTGCCTGAGTCAGAGTTTCAAAGTTGCACAACACTCAAAAATGTCCTTCTCAACTGCATCCTAGAAAGAGTGACCCCTAATTTTAAACATTGCCCCAGAGTTCAGGACTATCCACAAGAGGAAACATCCTTTCTACGTCCCCATGTCATGACTATTCAGGATTTTAGAAACAAAAAATTGGAGCAGAAGTCAGTCTTCGGTCCTTTGAGCCTGTGACACCATTCCATATGATCATGGCTGATCATCCAACTCAGTACCCCGATCGCCGTTTCTCCTCATACCCTTCAATCCCTTTAGACCTAAGAACTATATTTAACTCCTTGAAAACATGCAATGTTTCGGCCTCAACTGCTTTCTGTGGCAGAGAATTCCAAACGCTCACCACTCTCGGGATGAAGAAATTTCTCCTTATCTTAAAACTAAATGGCCTACTCCATATTCTTATACTTTGATCCCGGTTATGAACTCCCTGGTCACTGGGAACACTCTTCCTGCATTTACCCTTTCTAGTCAGATTAGAATTTTATAGGTTTCTTTGAGATCCTCCTTCATTCTTATAAAAAATCCAGTGAATGTAGTCCTAACAGATCCAGTCTGTCTCCAATGTCAGTTCTGCCATCCCTGGGATCAGTCAGGTAAACCTAACCCCACAACACACATTAGCCTAGTTGACCTCTACATCTCTCCCTTCTTGCATACAGGAGTTATTTTTGCTATTTGCCAATCTGATGCAACTTTCCCCAAGTCATTTTGAAATTCTGGAAAATTAGCACGAACACACCTATTGCCTCATTAGTAACCTTTTTTTAAGACCTTTCAACCAAGTCCATCTGAACCTAGAGACTTGTCATTTTCTTACTCCTGCTTCTCTCATGATTTCTTGCAGTTCCTCTCCCCATTCCATCTCCTGATTTACAGATATTATTGGAATGTTTTTGCATGCTCCATAGTGAAGACAGAAGCAAAATATTTGTTCATTTTGTCCATCGTTTCCTCAATATCTTCTATTAACTCCCTATTCTCATTTTCTAGGAAGACCAATACTCAATTTATTTACACTTTTTTTTTAAATACCTATAGAAACTCTCATCTGTCTTTATGTTTCTAGCTAGCTTCCCCTCACTCTAATTACTTCATCCTGTTTAACCTTTCAATCATTTTTTATGTTTTCAATCACCTGATCTTCCATTCATTGTTGCACAATTATATGGTTATTCCTTAAGCCTGATGCTATCCCTAACTTTAGATTTGTGCCCTCCCTTTAGATTTGTTTTTTCTTTATATTGGAAAATAATTAGAGTATTCTGAAATGTCTGCCACTGTGTCTCTATTGATCTATCCCATAGCCTAGTATGCAAGCTCACTTGACCTAGCTCAGCTGTCATGTCCACACAGTTGCCCTTATTTAGATTTAAAATACCAGTCCTAGACTCAATCTTCTCCCTTTCAAACTGGATGTCAAATTCAGTCATATAATGGTTGTTGCTATCAACAGGTTCCTTTGCTCTGAGGTCATTAGTTAAGCCTGTCTCATAACATAATACAAAACAAATACAATCTGCTTAGTATTTTTTGGAGTGGCATGCTTTGGGACCATCTCAAAAGCATTCTAAGAACTCCTTATCCAGCTACTATTGCCAATATGATTTCTTCAGTTTATAAGTAGATAAATTCACCATGATTATACCAGTTTAGCACACCCACTTACTCTACAACAACTGCTTCCATAAGACAAGAGTCAGCCTCCTTTTGGTCCTTTCCAGCTCTCAGATTGCAACATAAATGTTCAAGTTACTGTTGCTATAAATTCAAACATCATCTGAGAAGCTCCACGGCATTCTTCACATGCATAAAGATAAGCATCTGAAACTAAATCAGGAATTTACAGCATATCATGTAGTTGCAGACTTGTAAAACAGGCCACAGCCTACAAAGGAAATTCAAAGAGCATTGAACCTACTTGAAACAGTGAATAGAACCAGTTAGCAATTGTGAAACATAATCAAGTTAGTAACCATCATGTTCAAAGCTCCAACTCCAAAACTATCTTATCCATCAATAATGGTACACAAGACATGTCGGAGATAGTTGAACTTCACCAACACCACACCATTCCCATCACCGAGAAACATAATGCCATCGATTTTGTACAGTCAACCAATCAGCAGCAAGAATGTTAACATAATGTGATCTATTTCAAACATTACAGTCTCACTAATCAACAGCAAGACCATACCATCCACTACGTCTAACCATCTCTTTTACTTGTTCATGTTATTTCTCCAGACTACCAGCAGAGAGCATCGAAGTGTATCAGTTCTTTCAACAAACTTTTTCAAGGCAACAATGCTCTTTTCACAGCAAAATTTTACATGATAGAAGCATAAATATGCCTTCCTCAAAATCTAAGTTGACACACCCATACAATACTGAGGTAATGCTGCATTGTTGGAGATGTGCTATTTCGGAACAGGTATTAATAAGAGGTCCTGTATGCCCTCACGGATGAGCATAAAAGTGCCATGGCACTAGTGTGAAGAATAGCTGGCCAGGTATCTCCAAAAGCTGGACCAACACTGACAGCATGGAGACTCAGTCATTAGCACTGCTGCCTCACAGCACCAGGCACCCAGGTTCGATTCCACCCTGGGGTGACCGTCTGTGTGGAGTTTGCACATTCTCCCTGTGTCTGTGTGGGTTTCCTCCAGGTGCTCTGCTTTTCTCCCACTAACCAAAGGTGTGCAGTTTAGGTGGGTTGGCCATGCTAAATTCCCATAGTGTGCAGGCTAGGTGGATTAGCCATGGGAAATCCAGGGTACGGGGTGGTGGGTCTGGGTGGGATGCTCCTTGGAGGGTCAGTATGGACACAACAAGCTGAATGGCCTGCTTCCACGCTGTAGGAATTCTATGAATATCACAAAAACAGACTGTCTCACCTTTATCCTATTGCTGTTTGCAGGACCCTGCTTTGCACACATTGACTGCCACATTTTCTTATGTTATGATAGTGAGGACACTTCAAAAAGTATTTCATTAAATTCCATTAAAACACTTGGAGACTTCCATTGACCATAAAAGGCACTGCAAATGTTTCGAATGCTTTGCCACAAATGATGATTGATCCACAAATGAAGAAACCATTAAGAAGAATACCTACAGTGTGGAAACAGGCCATTTGGCCCAACACGTCCACACCAACCCTCCGAAGAGCATCCCACCCAGACCCTATCCCTGTAACCCTGCATTTCCCATGGTTAACACACCTAATCTACACATCCCTGAACATTATGGGTAATTTAGCACAGTCAATTCAACGCATTTTGCACATCTTTGGATTGTTCAAACAGCTAAAGATATAGGGCATCAGAAAAACAGAAGAGAGATTAATTCTGATTTTTTAAATATTTTCTTGCAGAGTTGGACCCAGACAGTGACAAAGTGACATTCTTCTGTATAGTAAATTCGAATCATAAAAACAAAATGACAGATAGTATCTCTAGGTTACTTATACATAATAAATAACTAGAAGCATTTGTGTAAAGAAGGACAATATTTTTTTCAATTTCACAATCTGAGACGACAGAGGCCTGTGTTTCATTTTACTTGCTTTTTATTGTTTTTACCTTATATGATGGAAGTCCAATCTTGTCTCCTCCACTTTGTAATGCTGTTGCAATCTAAGGTAGAAATGCAGAAATGTTCAAAAGTGTCCTGGGCCCATGAAAATATAGTTTCAGTTAAATTCTGAATTGTCCACCCTCCCAAGTACATGTTATCAAATAATTATTCCAACAGATCACATGGACAAAATGAATAAATTGCAGCTTCTTTCTTTTTAGCACTCAGAAGGTGACACCAGGTAATTATCTTCCTACCTTCTCTGCAAGCTCTTGTTGTTTGTATCCCAAAAGCTCCAAGTATTTACTGCGATGATCCTTCTCAAAGTTTACCTGTAAGACAGTTAAATCAGTGGAACGGCACTCACTGTATGATTTACCAGCTGGGCTGACCAAAGCAGTCGTGCTGAATTATATTTTCCACACCTCCCGAAAGTTTAGTAACAGAGGCCAAATAGAATGGCCACAAAATATTGAGAATCTAAATGGAAAATGATGGAAATGCACTGTTCAGAGTGCAAATCAGAGAGCGAGAGAAACACACACACACAGACACGAGAGACAGAGAGCACATGTGGGCATCCAAGCTCTCATTAAAGCTTTACATCAATTGTATTAACTTCTGAAGCATTGTTACTGTAATCAAAGAGAGAGATTCTGATTGGGAACCCTAATGTAAGATGCTGGGTACCAGAGTAACAAGCCTGTTCAGGAGATACTCTGTCTGCTGCCACCAGCTGCCCATTTACGCTGAGGTGACCACACCTCCCCTTGGCTGACAGTACAGAGGGAGGCTCCAACTTTTAAAGACTGGCTGTAAATTCTCAATGCCACCAATATCTTTTCATGCCTGAGTAAACTGGTTCACATAAAGCATTCCAACTGCAGTGTACTTGTTTCGCCTTGTTCTAAAGCTTGGCCAAGCACTTAGTTTTAATGTAGTTTTGGCAGCTATTTCTGACTAAATAAAACATCAGTTTCAATAAATAGATCTAAAAAACTGATATCTAAGTTACCTATTTATTCAGCTGGTCAATAAATGGCAAAGCCTGAAAAGTAGTAAGCTCAATTCTTGGTTTGTGCTGAATTAGGCAATCTCCAGGATACCTGTTGCAATGACCCATAGCACTCCTTTGTTAAGGAAGAGGTACAGATTCAAGGTTCCTGTCCTTCAATGCATTTATTCTAGTATTTATAACTGAGGCCGGGCGTATATGTGCATTAATCATTGAAGGTGACAGGGCAGGTTGAGAAAGCGATTGTACAGCATAAAAGACCTGTATTTTGTCACAGAGATGGTGGTGTTGTGGTAATATCATTGGACTAGTGAACCAGAGGTCCAGGCAAATGCTGTAGGGACATAGGTGTAATTGAAATTCAATTAATGAATTCTGGCATATAAAACTGGTTTCAATGATGGTGACATATATCCTCAGCTATTGCAAAATCCAATCTGGTTCACCAATATCCCTTTGGGAAGGAAGTCTGCCGTCCATACCTGGTCAGGCATATATCAGACTCCAGACCCACAGTAATGAGGCTGATTCTTAAAGTGACCTCTGAAATCACCAAGGGAGCCACTCAATTTAAGGGCAATTAGCGATGGGCAAGAAATGGGTCTTGCCAGCAACACCCATATCCTATGAAAGGATAAAGAGAAACTGAAGGCACAGGGTATAAAAGCAAGGACATTGGAATAAACGTGTCACTGATTCAGCCTCACCTGGGCAGCACCTTTCAGGCAGGGATATGAAAGCCTTACAGAGCATGCAGAAAAGATTCCAGGGATGAGGAACTTCCATTACCCTGGTAGATTAGTGAAGCCACTGTTCTTCTTGGTGAAGAGAAGATTATCAAATCGACTTAAATAAAGACATTCAAATCATAAGAAGTCTCAGCAGAGTAGGTCAGGAGAAATGTCCTGTTGGACTCAACCCAAGAGACCCTGAGTTAAGGTGACTGCTAAAAGAAGCAACAGTGACAGGAGGAAACATTTCCTACACAGTGAACAATTAGAATTTGGCATGCACTGTCTAAGAAGGTGACAGAGTTAGATTCAATCGAAGCCTTCAAAATAAAAATGAATTCTTACTTGAACAAAAACAATGCAGTCTATAAGGAAAGGACAAGGGAGTGGGACTAGGTGGGTTACTCTTGCAGAGTGGTATTGGTGTACCATTCCAAATGGCTTGCTTCTGTATCACAACTATTTATAAAAGCTATGAACTGTCCTAAATTAGTATTTTCTCCTCACCTTTAAAAACCCCCAAACATTCTTCTCAAAGTCGGTGTGGGCAGCATTAACTTTGGACTGACAGTACTCTACAAAGCCTCCTGAATGAATGGTTGACTGCAATTCATTGGAACGGTTCAGGAGTTCCGATTCTGTGACAACTTGACTGACGAACACTTGGAAAGGAGCTTCTTGCTGCTGCTGTGGTTGGGGCTTCGCATTTTGGAACGTGATCAGTTTTCCTCCAAACTTTGTTTTTTTTTTCAAATTCAATGGGAAACAAGTCATGCAACAGAAAAAGGAAACAAAAACAGTTCAAAATTATTTCAATTTACAGCAGTATGAAGATTATAGACATGACTTATTGATCTACTAAAACTAAATGCTAAAATTCTGGTAAATTATTAAAAATAAATCACTGCACCAACACCCAAGCATTCAAATACACCATGTCACAGTGATCGAAAGTGAGCAGTCAAGTTCAGGCAGGCTAAAAGAGAAGTGACTTATAACTTGAATATAACAGTGACATATAACTGCACCTTGAGAGAAAGTGCAATCAAGTAACTTCACTATTGCTGAACACTATAGGTGCACATGGTAGGAAAATTTGAGGTTCAAACAGAGATGTCAACTGGAAGAGCGGTGGATGTACCACAAATGCCTTCAGCCTTACTGGAAGGCAAATAGTATGCTGGCCTTTATTGCAAACCGATCTGAGTGCAGAGTTAGGAAAACATCTTGCTGCAATTGCAGAGAACCTTGGTGAAGCAGCACCTGGAGTAGTGTGTACAATTTTGGTCTCCTTATTCAAAGAAGGATATATCTGCCAGAGGAGGGTGCAAGAAAGATTCATCAGACTAATCCCTGGAATGGTGCAACTGAAGGAACTGGAGCCTTTTTTCCTCTAGAGTTCAGATGTGATTGCACTGAAGCATGTGAAATTGATGCCTTGATATATTTCTGATGATTAATGACATCGAGGGATCTGGGGACAGTGCAGCAAACTGGTGCTGAAAGAAATGATCAGCCATGATCTAGAATGATGGAGCAGGTGAGGGGCTAAATGGTCTACTCTTGCTCCTAGGTGCTTACATGGATTACAGAATACATCAGTGGGTAGGTACGTGTGTCTGTACGCACAGGTGTTTCTGCAACCAGAAGACACACAGTCTTAAAGTAAAAGCTAGGCTATTTAGGACTGAAATGACAAGGAATTCCTTCATTCAGAGAATGGTGAGTCTTTGGAGCTCTGCACTCCATAAGGCTGTGGAGGCTCAGTCATTGAGTATATTTAAGAATGACATCAATAGATTTCTAGATATTAAAGACATATGGAAATAGTGTAGGAAAATGGCTGATTATCTACCTCAATACCATGATCTAGTTGAATGGTGAAGGAGGTTCCATGAGCAGAATGGTCTTCTGCTCCTTCTTAGGGACTTGGTATTTAAATTTATCTGAGATTTATCCAGTTACATCTGTGCCAATTGTGCATAAGGATGGGGCACGAGCAGCCTCGTTGTAGCTGTTGCCACAGTCAAGTACCCTATCAACACTTATCATCTTAAATGTTGCTCAAGAGGAATGAGAATTTGGGGAAGAGATGCAGAGGTGGTGCTGCCATATGTATCACAGAATCATAGAACCCCAACAGTGTGGAAACAGGCCCTTTGGCCCAACAAGTCCACACCAACCCTCAGAACATCCCACCCAGACCCATCCCCCACCTATTCTACACATCCCTGAACACTACGGGCAATTTAACATGGCCAATCCACCTAGCCTGCACAACTTTGGACTGTGGGAGGAAACCGGAGCACCCGGAGGAAACCCATGCAGACACAGGGAGAATGTGCAAACTCCACACAGACAGTCGCCTGAGGGTGGAATCGAACCTGGGTCCCTGGCACTGTGAGGCAACAGTACTAACCACTGAGCCACCATAGATTTATATTCTAAATAAGAGATCACCTTCTGAGGAGATTTCGGTGGGGGGCGCAGGTTAGGTAAAAGCAAAAAATAAATAATTTAGAAAACTTCAAGTCTACTTTTAACTCTAGATCACAACGATTCCAAAACTTACAGCAAATGTAGCTCCTACAGGGCGACGAATCCACTTGGGTGGCTTCTTCAGAGGCAGCACGGCATTTGGTTGTGGTATGGACTGAGGAAGTTGCAATGGAGGAAGGGTTTGTCCAGTACCAAATGGATCCAAATTCCCAAAAGAAGAGGAAATCTGTATCCAAAAAAGTACAGCATTTGTAGATAATAAATGACAGCTTCACAGAATTGTTATGGCACAGATAGGGGCTGTTCAGCCCTTTGGGCCTGCACCAGACACAGCCTATAAAGTACAGGCAACACTTAGTGGCCAAGAGACATCACATCAGAATTCTGATCTGAGTTTGCATTAAGATCATTGCTGAAAACAGCAAATGTTATTTGATTTGTCATG